CCTTCTGCCTATTTTTGTAAATAAAGTTTTATTGGAACACAGCTGTAATCGTTTACACGTTATCTGACTGCTCTCAGGTTACAGTGGCAGAGTGGAGGAGGTGAGTGGTTGCAAAAGAGACTGTATGGCCTGGCAAGCCTAAAATATTTCCTACTAGGCCCTTTACAGAAGCAATTTGCCGACCCCTGGTCTAGTGCCTAGTTGAAATCTGTTTTCTCATCACAGGGATCCACCTGTTGCTTATAAGGTGACAAACATGGGTTTTTGCTTGAAAGGAGAGCGTCTACTTAGATGGGTTCAAGGAGGAAAGGGGATTATGATAAAATAGTTCCCTGTGGAATCCATGGACATGAAATTAAATCCATGCATTACACCTACAGCGTGAGTTTTTGCCATACAAATTAGCCATAACTCAATTCTATTAATTAAAGAACATAATCTGCATTGCTAAGGACACCACTGGTTACACCAGGGTCTTGATGGGGTACTAATATTATATTCAGGAGCTAGCACCAATATAAGAAAAACTGTTACCTGAGCAACACCAGAGCTTTGTTTATCCTAACGAGGAGTGATAATAAGGATAAAGGAGATAAGGAGATAAGGATATGTAAAATGTCCACCATTGGTGACAGGAAAAGAAAGGACAAGATTTTCAAGCAAAAGTGAGAAGTCACCAAATGCTGGATTGGCTCCACGATGTTTAGATTTTACTCTTATGGTTATAAAAAGTATCCTTATTATTGAAATTACTGCAGGAAAAAATAACTTCTTTTTTGGGAACCTGAAACTCTCCAGCTTCCATCCTCTTTCTCTCCTTAGTACAATAATTTTTAAAAGCAGTTTTTAACAATGTGAATTTCTGAGGAATGCAGAATTGATGTTCAGTCACTCCTCACGAGAAGTGGAACTGGGTCAGGACCTGAGGTCATTCTTGATGCTTCCCCAAAACTAAATGGCCCCTTGGGTTTCCTTCTCTGCTTTTATCTGCCTCTTCTCTCCTGCCTGGCTTCCTCTGTATAAATCTGAACAACTTGGACTGTCGGATCAAGTCTGTATGTCTCCAGAGCCTGCCATTACCAGGAAAGACTTTTATAATCCCTAAATATAAATTTTTAAGAATCTGATCTGCTTAACCCAATTTATGGTTTGATACTGTTAGCAGATCCTGCTAAGATCTTGACCTTTACACTCTCACCAAGCCAAAAGACTACAGTCCCAGCTTCCCCTGAATCTCAGTGTAGGCCTGAGGCTAAAGCCTATGCAATGAGATGTAAGCAAAAATGTTGTGTGAGTCTTCTGGAAAGTTTTCTGGTGTGGGGTGGGGGTGGGGTGAGAAGGGTGGATGTGATGATGTGATGGCTGGAGGTCTGACTGCCATTTTGGAGCCACACCCCCAAGATAGCTGAGTGTGAGCAAGAAGAGCCTGGGTCACTGATGAAGTCCCTACCCCAGCCCTGGACTGCCTACATCCAGGCTTCTTTTACGTAAGAGAGAAATATATGCCCATCTAGTTTACACAACTATTTGGGGGAGTTTCTGTTACTTACAATGGAACCTAAACCCAAGTGATAGTTTCCTCTGATCCAATAAGATGGGACAAGAGAGGCAGGGCACAAGGAATATTGCTCAGATAGTGATCCCCCAGGCCTGAGCAGACATCCCAGGAAAGTGGGCTTGGGCAGAGCAGGCAAATCATTTGGAGTATTCACTACAAAGGCCAAGTTCCATTGCCAGACCATTTGGGTCTATATGGAAGGGAAATCCTAGGATGCGTGAAAAGTCTTGGGGTGGGCTGACATCTTAGAACATGCACCAGGGTAAAAATTATAATGCAAGGGAAACAGGCTCTGAGTGGTGGAATTGTGGGTAACGTGGCTGCAGGCCAGGTTGACAGGTGCCCTGACCAGATGGGAGTCAATCGTTCTGCTAATAATTGAAGAAACATTGGTTACATTCTTTTCAGGGATCTGGTTAACTCATTCCCTTTGGCTACTTATGGCTTTGATTTATAGGCGGCAAAGTCACTTAGGATAATAAAGCCCCCAGGCCTGGTGGCAAACTGCTGGGATTTTTCAAGAAGAAAAGGACCACTTAAACATCTCAATCGGCTTTTCCTGAGTGAATGCTATCCGGAGGAAACAGGTTTCAAATTTGTCTCCATCATTTGCATCCTGGAACAGGCTTCCCAGAACTACAGCTCCCAGAGGACACAGGTCCCACCGTCATTTTCTTCCTTTTTTCTAAAAGTTCTTAATGAATTAAGAAAAATTCGTTCAAGTATCAATTGGTTTGAATGCATCTCTGCAGTAAAAGGAATGACATAATATATGTCACTTTTTGAAATAGCCTTTCTTTTATCCAACCGTGTCCTACTGAGCTATGGCCTTTCTGTTTCACTTCTTTTCTTCCTGAGTGAATACAATCCTAAAAGTATACACATAACCTCTGTGTGCTGAAGAAACACCACACCTGCGATGCCAGCACCCTCAAAGCCAACATGTTCATCTGGGTCATGGGTGCAGCCGGTCCGAGCTCAGCCACGAATGTCAGATCCTTGAAAGCAGGGTTTAAGAAAGAAATCAGTTGTTCCCCATGTTCAGAAAAAAATTTTTAAATGGTCTGTAATAGAAAACAGGAGAAAAATAAAGTAGTCCATTCTCAGGCCTTAGCACAGATCACCAAAAACTGCAACTTACATGAGAAGGAAATCTTTGTGGAAATAAAAAAACACCAGCCAAATGAAAAAAGCAAGGGCTATTTATTTATTCAGAGCTTGCTAATGCAAAGGAGTCAACTGCTGTCACTCCAAGGCAGGCAGAAGAGCAGGAAAGTTTCATAGTCAAAAATGAGAAGACTTCAGGTGTGTCCTGAATGGAGGCTGCAGGCATGGGAATGCTGGAGACAGGCTAACTAGAAGTGGGGTGTCCTGGGCGATTGGTTGGAGGTGCATATTCAGCTTTCTCTAATTGGTCCTTGGTTAAAAACAGAACACAAATTAGGGAAGCTGTCAGTTATTAATCAAGTCCTGGCCATTTTGGACCAATCGTTACAGAAATGTTTGTTTACCCTTCTGGATTGTTTCTAGAGATAGCAGTCTGGCTCTTTGCAAGTCTGACTATAGTGGACTGGTTCCCTGGGCTGATTTTTGTAGATAAGAGGTTGGTTTCCTGCGCAGGTCAGTGCAGCTTGTGGGTCAGAGTTCTAGTTCTATATACAGCCTGGCCATTGTCCATTTGTATATTCAGTCTCATCTTTCAGACAAAGACAGACTGCTGTCTGTGGGCAGCTGAGCTGCAGCCAGCAAGGTGATCCCTAGCATTTCTAAGAGCCACTTTGGGAGACAGTAATCCCTACCACTTTGCAGAGAAGTGCATAAGGACACACCCGTTTGTGTGAGCATATCACTGTTAGCTTGACGCCCCAAGGTGGCAAGGAAGGAAGGGATGTGATGGAGTCCTACGAGAAGAGGAATGAAACTGTGCTCCATGACTCCCAGCCCAGCTGTAGGATGGAACCCCACGGGCAGCTCTGAATAAATAGTGATGCTGGCCCCACCCCACCCCTGAAGATTCTAATTTAATAGAGCAGGGTCAGGCATCAGTAGTTTTTCCAAACTTCCCAGGTGATTCTAACAGTGCAACCCAGATTGGCAGCTACTAATGAAAACTCACAAACCTTTGAGAGACGCTGGGAGCAAATATTTAGCAATTAGTGAAAATAAAATCAGGGTATGAAACCATGACCACTTTCTCAAGAAGCCCCTAATCTTTCAGTCTTGGAATGTTGGGCTTTAGAAATATAAAATACAGAGTAAAATTAAACTACAGTAATAGTTCAGATCGTTGCACGTAGGCAGCAGTCATGGAGTGTGAGCTTACCTACCAGAAATGAAAATGCTACAGGATCTAAACCCTGGGCATAAGGAACAGATAGGACTCTTAAAATTGCTGTAAAAACCACCAAACTACACTTGTTATGAGCAGCATTCTACATTTTTATTTATTTTTTTCTCTTCCTTTTTTTTTCTTTCAAAGATTGGCACCTGAGCTAACAACTGTTGCCAATCTTTTTTTTGTTTCTTCTTCTCCAAAAGGCCCCCAGTACATAGTTGTCTATTCCAGTTGTGAGTGCCTCTGGCTGTGCTATGTGGGAGCCTCCTCAGCGTGGCCTGAGTGGTGCCACGTCCGTGCCCGGGATCCAAACTGGTGAAACCCAGGGTCCCGCAGCAGAGCTCGCAGACTTAACACTCGGCCATGGGGCGGCCCCTCTTCATTTTTACTTTTAACCATTAAAAATTTATTTTTTCTATTTAAAATGCTATTTATTATAATATATTTCTCACGGATTGTGTGTGATGTGTTGGTGTGTGTGTATGTGTGTGTATATTCAGTCTGAGTTTGTACATTTCTCCAACACTTTAAACAGAATTCAGAACTGCATTTGGGGTGTGTAGACTCCAAACCTCAAAAGAATCATAACATACTCCACACACCTGGTCTCTACTTTTTGTTTCTTGTCAATTCTAAATTTTCAAATGTATCTGTTTATCTGAATTTGGTACAACACCACCCCCTGGTGGAAATCTATAGAAAAGAACCCACACGATTTCACTCGGGAACTTGAATTCTGTGAGGGATGATTTAGATGTTCTCATACACTGGTGTGTGCTCTCTCTCCCTCATTCTCTCTCCCAGTACAATGCTCTCGTCAAACAAAATCATATGCAAAAGCTCCATGAACAAAACACTAAAAACGGAGCTGTGCTGGGGGCTTTCTGTTTCCCACATTCTCATTGCCAACCCCACATCTCCCTCTAGGATGTCCAAAATAGAACTTACTATCATTAAACATAAGTCTCCTCCCAAAAAAGTTAAAATTAAAATCACATCTATTTCTTCCAAGCTTCCCTGCCTCAATGAATAGCGCCCCCTTTACCATCCTCTCAGGCCCAAAGCCCTCCCGAGCCTTCACAATACACGTGAGCAGATCAGAGGCTCCGAGTCAGCCCAAGGCAAGACACCAGGTTAGATTTACTTAATCCAGCAAGTCCCGAACGCATTTTATCATGAGACCCGTTCCCCTCCTCCCCAATACTTTTTAACAACTTGCAGAAAACTCTTTGGTGATATTTCATTGAGAATGATTGTTCCATTTTAATTAGCAAATTAGCTCTTTGGCTGCACATGCTATTCACTCTTCAGAAATGCTTAGGCAAAGTCACCCATCCAACAAGCCAGCTCTCAATCATGTGTGGTAATGGAAAGTTCGCCCCTTAGGTGATTGACCCCAGACAGCTATTGAGTTGATGCCATGCCTGTAGGCAACTTCATCCCTTTCTCCTACCATCATTACCAGCCAAAGGGAGGAAGAGGTTGCCAGTAGAACTAGCAGGAATCATGCTTTGTCTTCCATTAAATATTTAATAAGCTTGAATTGCATGATCACTGTGTAATTTTATTTAGAGGAATTATAATGTTCACTTGACTACAACCTAACAGCAACATGGGCAGCTCTGTAACTGACAAGGACTAAGTGTTTTCCATACGTTATCTCCTCCCGTGGATTTATGAGCCAAAAAGTGTCATAATCTCTACAATTTCCAGCATCCATACAAATTAACATAGATCCCAGGACACCAGATCTAAAAGAAATCTTACTTATTTTTAACAAAAATAGAGCTTTATGCTCTATGCCATTAGTGCTAGACTTATGTCTAATACTAGATTAGATTAGTGTAAGTCCTAAATCTGCCGATACATATTGCATCATTTTTAATTTTGAAAGCAAAGTCATGTTTAATTAAATTTTCATGCAATGGAAAAGTTATTTGAAGCTGTTCTGGTGCTGAAAGTGTATTTTGATCAATAGTCTGCGGGGCCATTTGCTGTCATTTCGTGTCATCTACAGCTTTGACTTGGGGGCGGGGCTCCCGAGGGCTTGGGCACACTCGTTCACCAGCCTGGCAGCCTCCAGAGCAGTTCCCCAGTGCATGGAGAAGCCCCCGCTCCCGTGGCCATAGTGGTGGACCACAGGCAGCCTCCGGCTGTCCTGGGCCAGGAGCTCTTTCTGCAGCCGGATGCCTGGCCTGGAGGGCCTCAAGCCCACCTTCTCCCTTATGTCGCAGGCTCTGTGGAGGGACGGCTCAAGAGCACAGCATCGGGAAAAAATATCTCTGCTAATTTCTGCATCTGGGGACAGATTCCAGTCTCCTTTTTGCCTAGTTCCACCCAGGGTTACGTTGGATGTACCAGGGTAAATATATGTCAGCCCACTCCCATCTCGGATAAAATGCTTCAACCAGGGAGCCTGAACTTTGAGCACTTGGCCCCTCACGGGGAAAATCGTCGAGTCTCCTGCCAGCTGTCTGCTTCCAAGGCCTGAACAGTTGACCACGATGTCGAAGGACGGGTGAAGCTCCCACAGGTCTTCTATTCGCTGGGGGACCATCAGGCCCCCGCTTCTTTTTACCCTGGAGAGAACGAGAGACCTGAGGTGAGCCTCAGCAGCTTCCTGCTCAACCCCTCACAGGAAGTGATGGACAGGATCACGGAAGCAAGGGGCCCCAGCAGCCAAATTCCAGCCAACGACTGCCCTGCATCCTAGGAAACTGGGGATTCCTAAAGATGAACCTAAATAAAAACGTATTGGAAAAATGCAAAACAGAAGAAATTGTATGCCTTGTCCTTCTTATGTTTAGTAGAGTTTCTGTATCATTCTACATGCTAAATAAATACCAAGTTAATCTGGCATTTTAAATACCCAAGCATTTCTTGTTTAAGCCATTTATTTAGCAGCTAAATTTACTGCCTGGGAAATTTTGTCTCATGTTGTTAACTCTGGCATGTTCCTTTGTATTAGTCTGGTCTCCCTAACTAGACGGTTGGGACAGAGTTCACACGCCCCCTCGTTACATTGACCACAGGGGTCAGCACAAGAGGAACACAGAAATATTTGCAGCTGGTGGACTAAATGACAGTTTAGTTGGTAATGATTTTTTTGGACAAAGTACATCAATAACAAAAAGAAATGGCTTATCTAAGTCCTGTATTCTTTTTTTTCAAATTGTGGTAAAATACATATAACATAAAGTTCACCATTCTGACCTTTTTTAGGCGTACAGTTCAATGGCATTAAGTTTAATACACTCCCATTGCTGTGCAACCACCACCGGCCATCTCCAGATCCTTTTCCACCTTGCAGAACTGAAACTCTGTACCCATTAAACAAGAACTCCCCGGTCCCATGATCTTACTCACAGATCATTTGTAGAAGATATAATATGGATAAAAGACTATCAGCAACTCTATTCAACACATGCAGGTTGGATGCCCGGATGTAAGGCAACACTAAGAGGGACCAGAAATGCGTGCAGCACACTGCCCTTCCTCAAGGACTGACCAAGGAGCTGGGAGGGGGAAGTGTAAACACCCAGCAGAATGAAGCAAGTTCCGAATGAGAGGTGCTGTAGAATCAGAAAGCACGGGTTTACGTCCCAGTTCTGCCTCACATTAGCTTTAAGGTCTTGATCAATTCTCCTCACTTCTCTGACCCTCAGTTTCCTCATCTGTGTCATGGGGGTGATACCTCCCTTGCCTGACTCAGAGGATGGCTGTGAAGTTCAAATGAAACAATTGGCATGACAGTACTTCGAAAGATATTAAGCATAATAAATTCTAGGGGACTGATATTAATAAATTATAAATTTCTCAAGGGAAGAGACTACGTCTTATGCCGCTATGACCCAGCTCAGGCCCCAATACCTAAAGGACTTGACATAAGTGTTGGCCAATACTGACGACAACATGAAATCCTGGTTTGAGTGTATGATGGTTAATTTTATGTGTTGACTTGACTGGGCCATGGGGTGCCCAGATATTTGGTCAAACATTATTCTAGGTATTTCTGTGAAGGTATTTGTGGGTGAGATTAACATTTAAATTGGTAGACTGAGTAAAGCCACCTGCCTCCCTAATGTGGGTGGGCCTCATCCAATCAGTTGAAGGCCTGAATAGAACAAAAAGGCTGACTCTCCTCCTGCCAGGCTGTCTTTGAACTGGGACGTCAGGTTTTTCCTGCCTTCAGACTCGAACTAAAACATCAGCTCTTCCTGGGTCTCAAGCCTGCCAGCCCTCAGACCAGAATTACACCATTGGCTCACCTGGGTCTCCAGCTTACTGACTCACCCTGCAAATCTTAGAACTTATCAGCCTCCATAATCATGTGAACTGATTTCTTATAATGAATATATGTGTGTGTATATATATATATTTTTTACATAATATATACACATATATTTTATATATACTATATAGATAGATATTAATATATACATCCTATTGGTTCTGTTTCTCTGGAGAACACTGACAAATACAGCACGACACCACACTGGCACCCTCTCTCTCCAACAGCTACAATTCAGGCCTGTTCCATGGAGAATCTGGGAAGCGTTGACACCAGAAATGCCAGAAGAGTCCTGTTACCCTATCTGCCCTTGAGAGAGCGGAAGCGGTCATGCCAGCAGCTCTGAGTACCATTTGCCTTCAAGGCCAGATAAAGAGAGGCTTAATGCTGAAAGGCAGCATAAGAAAAGGCAGAAACTTCCAGAGCATAAATAATAGGTGTCTGAGAAAGTGGTAAATGACGGCATGGTTTGACAGTTGATTTTAACTTAGCAAGGAGGAACTCTTTGAAGTGATTCTCATTTTCCACTCCTATGTTTTGACTGGAAAGTTCAGCTGAAACTTGCATTAAGATCAGCAGGAACCTGGCTGTCTTCTGACACTGGTTCTCATTTCTAGAAAATGCTGCAGGTGGATGAGAATGGGAGAGACCCACTGCTGCTCATTGCGTCATAGGCCCTGAGTCTAACGGCTCAGTTTGCTATTCTGTAAAGTAACAGCATTGGCTCCTATCACTGGCTTTCCAGCTTCTCCCTCATCTGGCTGAAGGAGAAGCTGCTGGAGGAGATGGGCCCAAGAGGTCTCCACCTTCTCAGTCTCTGCATCCCACCCCCAGCCCTGCTGCCCTGCCTCTGAAGTCTCTCCACCGAATAAGAACAGTTTGAGACCTCTGGCTTAGATTTCTTTATTATCCAACAAATACTCGCTGAGGGCCTGTACTGTGCCAGCGGTGCTAGGCTAGAAGAACTCAAAGGCTACCCCTTGCTCTAAGATCATAGAACAAGGTGGTGCACGTACTCTCAAACACAAGCTGTTATTTCAAGCAGCAATGCTCCGAATAACAGAACTTAAGTTCTAGGCACTGGTACTTTGTGCAACCTTGCTTGTTATTCAAAAATCCATGGGAGACAGTGTCTCGTTTACCTGAGGCGAGGAAACCAAAGAAAAGAATCTGGCAACATCCATACTTTGGGGCCACCCAGAACCCACAAGCCAATGGACTACTTTCTGGTGTAACTAGAAGTGGTTAAAAGAGAGACAATGAGGCTGGAGCTACTGTCTCGTCTGTTTTCTAAGTAAAATAGTTCATAGACGTTAATAGTATTTCATGCAGAAAATTTTATGGTCAGAAGTTTTCAACTCTCTCAGCAGAATAAACAAGTTGGGAGCTAAAATTATATTTTTAAAATATATAATAATAGATGAGTGTTTTTAAAGATAAGATAACTGTGTAAAGTTATTTTTATTCTAACACTGGCATAGACAGAAGAGTAAATGGGAATTTTGTGGCACTACCGACTAACATATTGCAGTGTGTTTGTAATCTTTAAGATAGTGGACACACAGAAAAGACTTTAAAAAGGAGTTTAGGATGGCTCTCCTCTTGACCAGTCATGTGGCCTTAGTCAAGTTACTCAGCTCTAAACTTGAATCCTCCATCCACAATTTGGAGATAATAATACTGACTTTATAGGCTCATTGTGAAAATAAAATGAGACAACATCTGGAAGAAGTCTAACACAGTGCATAACGCATTGAAGTCGCTCAATGAAGTATTTTTAATAAGAAAAAAATCGAGTTTAGGGATGCGTTACACTACTGTAAAATGCAAGACCCGATGTCTCATATACGAGTATGTGTGCCCTCCACACTCATGTATTACTCACATCGAATTATGTTTTAGAGCCTCTGTGAATGACAGTTGTATTTTAAAAAAATGTTTTCCATTGATCATTATTTGGGCATTATTTTTGTTTTGCTTTTAATGGATTGTGGATCCCATGTGTTGATATTTAAACATTATATTCTGTATTCCAACCATCCTAATTGGAACTCAGAATTATTCTCCTAATTCAGAGAAACAAGGGAATTTACCAGCCCTGGGATTTGAGCAAATTTCTTAAACTCACTGAACTTGTTTCCTCAACTATAACTTAAGGATAAGACTGCTGTGTTCACAGGGTTTTTATGACAATTATGCAAGAATTCAATAAATGCAAATGTCCTTCTTTTCCACTTCAAGGGCACTCTGCTGGTTGAGCTCCTGATGACAGTCCACCCCCTACCTGGAGACTTCTTAAACTATCATAAAGGATGAGCTCTTGGAAGGCCTGTCAGGCTTCCTGTACTGGGTCCCTCCTAGGCCTTGTATCCCAGGGAGAAACTTACTGAATGTGCCCAGGGACCAGTCATCCTTGCACTGTTGCAATGTGACCACATGGTAATGCCCAGTTGTTATTGTATATCCCCTGGGCAATGTATCAAGATGGCACCAGGTGTAGGAGGAGACTGTACCTGGAAGCTGGATATTAAATTGGGTGACCAGCACCTACGAGGTGCTTTTACAACCATATGAGGTAGTTATTCTGGAGGTTTTGGGTGACATGGTTGGGGGTATAAGAACCTTGGTGACTTTCCTCTTGGGGCTTCCTGCAACTGAGTAAGACTTCATCCTGAACAGAGAGAATACCATCACCCTAAACTCCCATGAGGAAATGGGGGAAGGGGAGATTCAAGAAGCTGTGCACATTCAATAGCCCCAGCCCAATGTCATCACCCTCAAACCTAAGAGGGTGCATTTTCATCAAACCTAAAGTCAGCCCTCTGCCGGACCGCATCAGCCTGACCCTTAAACACGAGGATAGCTGTCTTCAGGACCCTTCCTTCAATTCACTGGGAGTTTCAGCAAGGGGGGAAATTGAGCCAACTGTGCCACTGAGAAGAACAAGGGCTCCAATAAGCATTTCTTTAAACACACACACACACACACACACACACTCCACCTCCCAGGAGCACAGGGCAGTCCCCTCATCCCCACCCTTCTCCTGGGACTAGAGGCAATTCCTGCACCCCATCTCCTGACCCCTGCCACAGCCCAAGCCATGTGAGAGAGAGCACTAAACAGGGAGGTGGGAGTTCTGGTGTGGAGACCTCACGCGGGGATGGGGGCCACAGGGGAAGGACAGGACCCTGGTGAGAGGGAGGGGCTGTGTGGACAGCAGCACCTGGCAGCAGGGGTTGCAAGAGGGAGGCACGACCTCGGAATGGGAGGGCAGAGCAGGAAGGGGGT